ATTCTCTCATTTAATATCTGTTTTAAGACGAGAGAACTTTTTTTTGTACATAAATAAAGTAAAGCAAATACTGAAATATAGCAGCTGTATGTATAATATATTTCAAGGTCAAAACTATTTAACGTGTTTAAAAACACAAAAAAGCTTCTTTGTATCCTTTCAAGGTCAACTTCAAGAAAAACTCATTATATGTATACATTGTGTAAATGTATGTACATGTGTATGCTAAGTTGCAATTTTATGTTATAAATAAGGCATAAGATACAAACAGGAAACAAAATTATAATATGTATGATTTTATATATCCCTATAATATTGAGTCATACATAATATTATATGCAAAATTGTGCACATGTACATGTATATTGACATACACATAAACACGAACACATGGTATATTCAAAAATTCTTTTTTTCACAACATATATAATACATAGGTATTCCATACACATATATTAAAAAAATCAATAGAAAACTTTTTGATTATAGCTTTCAGATCTCTGAACCATCAGTCTCACAGTCGATTTGAAGGTACTTTGAGACGCGACATCAGCAACTTTACTTTACCATTTCTGGCAAAAATTACTCTAGTCTAAAATAATAAAAAGGATGTTAAAATAAAAATTTTATATATTCATTAAAAGCTTATATTTCTTAAACCTATATACATATACACCTCATATTGTAGGTATATTGTTTGTAGATCAACTAAAGTTCAAAACAAGAAAGAATCTGAATTGAAAATTTTTTATGCAATTTCTAGAATTAGCTTTGCCAAATACTCGAATCTGTCAAACCATTCTATAGAAACTGCGCAGAATTTTACATTGAACGAAAATATATTTATATACATGTCCATAGCGGAGACAACTCCATTTCAAAGTAAATATATCGCTCACGCAGGTGCACGGTATAAAAAAATAATTTGGTTTATATTTAAATTAAGTTATATGGGTATGTATTCAGCTGTGTATGTATGTATGTATTAATATATAATAAGCTGACATTTAACGTAGCCACTGCAAAAACGTATTTAGAATAGCATGTTTCATGTTTCTAATATAAAGTATGGACCTAAGCGTGTTTTTATCTTGCTTTTTTACTCGGCGAATGAGATGTAAGTGAGTGAGCGTGAAATTATACATATTTGTATAATGTAATTTTGAATTGAAAATAATTTTTTCCTGTTACGTATCATGTTTTTTTCAAGAATGTATGTATGTATGTACATATCCAATAAAATTTACTTTTTCGGTTCTTTTGAAACGTGACAAGCATAGAGTTTTCAAACAAGTTTATGTATGTAAGTATACATACATATGTAACTACAGTTCTTGGTTTTCCTCATTTCCCTATCTGAAAACTTACACACTTAAACACTTTAACTTTTAAGGGTATTGTTAGATACGAATGGCTACCCAAGACAAGACACTGGATTCTTATACTTAAGTACATATTTTAAGTAAATGATTTTTAACTGACTACTAATAACAGTCCTAAATCTATTTTTTACATACATATTCAAATTTTTAATTTAAAAATTAACTCAATTATTGATAAAACTCAACTCAGTGTTTTTTTTAACCTAGAGGGATAGCGAACATGCGGCACGCGTGCCCAAGGTGGCAATCGTCTCTACTTTCCCTGGCACGCGCTAATAAATACTTTGGTGCAAAAATTTTTTATATTTTCGATATTATATTTGCTTAAAATATAAAAATTATATTTGCTAAAAATTGTTTCCAAAAATTTTTTAAGTGAAGCCTTTGAAGCCTGTATTCCTTTAAAAAAAACTAATTATCATCCTGATGTTGATGACTTAGCGGCAGCAATTCAACAAAAAAAAACTCATTAATTCTCTATGTATAATGTATGTATAAATATGATTATGTCAGTTATAAATAAATCGACATATTTGTGTAAATGACAAATATATTTTGTTTATTTTAAGGCACGCGAGTATTTTCATTTTTTTAAAATAATTATTTTTGGCACGCAGTCCGATAAAGGTTTGCCATCCCTGCTTTGAAATTCCATAATATGCACAGTATGTTATACATACGAGTACAATCATAATATAAAGAAAAGAACATGGTAATGCCCATATCTCTTGTTATCTTTTCTTAAACTCTTAACATGTTAATGTAAACAAAAATTTTTTTCCATAGCAAATTGGTAAGAGTTGATAGTTTTGAAAATGAAAATTAGTTGCAAAACAATATTTTAGCGAATTGAATTAGTCAAACTTTCATTTGAAAATGTGGGAAAGCATCAAAATTTTTTTATATAATATTTTTATAAATAAAATATTAATTTATTTATTGGTTGAATAAGTATGTTTTGTTTAAATATTCTAATAAGAGAATTATTTAATTGCTGCAGAGTACTCAAAATTAATAAAAAAAAACATTTTTTGGTATGTGGTACCAAGAGTTAGGTATGATTTTAAGGTTCCTGTACCATTTTTTGAAATTCAATTTATGACAGTCCTGTACTCAACATAATTAATCAAAAGAATAAACATGAGAAATGGGAATTCTCTTGTTATCTAACGGCACAGCGCTATACTCACCAAATTGAAGCATCATTTCTCTCACCATATTTTAGTGTTATATGTATTAGGGCTGTCGTTTGGCTCCGACGACCCTAAGAGAGCCAAATGGCTTCGTTAGGGCCTCCCATCAATGTGTGATGTGAATGAAGAGTTGAACTACTTCTTGGGTAGATATACATACTTTGCTTAAAATTTTCAGAAAACGTTAATTGTTGCCATTGTACTTTTAAAAAATTTGCCAGTAATCTTTTTAATAATATATGTACATACATAAGTACATATGAAGTATTGTTGAGTAAGTATATATGCGTTCAGAATGGTGATAAAATTATTTATGTATCAAATCACTATTTACGTTCTCAAACTTTTAATAAGCCGTGACTTCAATAATGCGCTTACGACGTAAATTTCACAAAGTATCAAATTCCAAAAAGTTTTGTAAAAGCTTTTGACATTCTACACTTTTCCTAAATGCGTTTTATACGTAATGGAGACGTAAAATAAGAGTAAATCGGGTATTGAAAAAACCGAGCACGCTTTTCTTATACCTTGTCATATAAATGTTGCCAGAAATAACCGATAAAATAAACTAGCATATATTTTCAGCAATAAAGTGCTAGTTATCAAGTTTTTTTCCTAAAATGCAGCATAAAAATGTTATATTTTTAATGATGTGGTAACGTTTTATAAAAATGAACATTTTCACAGAACTTTAAATTGAAATTTTCAAACAAACGTCAAAGTTTTACTGATATGGTAAAAATTGTATTCCAAAATGTACCAAAAGCTTTAGTAGTTTTTTTTACAATATAAAGGTATTGAAAGCTCTGAGACGGTACTACAACCGTATTAATACCGTACTTAAATCTTTTTTAAAGCATTATTGAAGTCACGGAAGCTTTATTACCAACGGCAATGAAATTAAATAACTTAGTCTAAAAAAATTTTAACGAAATTAGTCCTAACATTGAGAATTGGAAAGCAGTCTGGAATCATCTTTCACTTGACATTACAAAAAATCTGTATTTCTGTCAGCTGTGATCTTTCCAATATATTGATTCTGTCAAAATAAAGTGATTTTTAGTTCATATAAATATACATAAACAAAATTTAAAAGCGACAAAATACATAGCTATCAAATTTTTCAATTGAATTTTTCAATAAATATAACAATTTTTATTGTATTTTGAATAAGGATCTTAAGCAAAATAAAAAAGAAAAAACGCTATCTTGCCAAGTAACGTAAATAATCATAAATCTTATAAACAAAAATTTTTAATCAAAGTTTTGGTATGGAACGAGTTATTTGTTGACGAGTTATATGCTCATGAAAAACTCAAATAACGCAGAAATTTGGAAATGTTTATAAAATAAGAAGAGCTTTAATTACGCTTTGATAAATTTCACTTAAGAAAATACTTTAAGATTTGTCCAACAAATACAACTCTTCACTGAATACTTCAAGATTTATTCAACAAATATTGATTGCTCAAAATTTCGGGAAGTTTCGAAGAATTTTTGAATACAAAATAAAATATTTTACATACTAATAAATTTCATCTCTGTAATAAAACATTAAAGAGATGGAATATAATTCTTTTTTATGAAAAATTTTAAAATGTCCACTTAAACATTGATAAGTTGCTTTCAAATACATAATGCGATTGAAATTTTCTTTGAAAAAGTAAATGTTATTTTAAGGTACAGAGCAATAATGGGAACACAATTTCGTCATAAAAATGTCTGCAGTAATACAACTTCTATGAAAAGTCTGATTTAAATGCAGCTTCTGTTAAACGCAGAGATAAAATAAATCGCGAAGGAATTAATACAAACGAAGTAATAAAAGATTACCGTATCAAAATAATAAGTCAATATTTAACTAAATTAAAGATTATTGGTATCTGTGAAGTTTGTGGTGAAGGATCCACTTCAACTTCCTTCGTGTCTGAGATTGCACAGAGAACGTTTACATGTTATAGAGTTAAATAGGATTGTTCGCAAACACAAATGTAAAACTTGTAATAAAAATTTCATAAGGAATAATAAAAATATCTTACATCACTCAACGAAGAGAAAAAATATATTTGCAATACACACTCAAGGCGTTTTTCATGGTCATCAACTTTATAAGGACACATGAATGTTCATAACAATGAACGAGATTTTATTTGGAAGCTTTGTAAAAAGGATTCTACATCTAAACTTAGAATAAGTTGCCAAATGAGATCTCACGGATGCATATACATAATTATATTAATGAAAATGTTTATCGAAAATCTAAGAATAGCTAGTCCTAAAATTTTTTTCAACAATTGAAGAAGACTCATTTATTTTCTTGAATATTTATAATATTATTATATTTTATTAAAAACCAAAACAATATTATTTAAATTATATATCAATGTATTATCTATATCCTTATATAAATTTAAATTATATATAAGAACATGTTAAATTTAAAAAATTCAATTTGTGAAAGGTTGTTTTACAAATGAAGATACATGTATTTATCTGCATTTTCATTTTAGTTTTAAAAAAGAAATTAAATAGAAAAAATTATCCTACAAAAAAATAGCAATATAATATTTAAAAGTACACAAAAAGTAATTCTGACAGAATTCAAAATTTCTAAATTTTTCTTACCGCAGTTGTTTTTTATTAAGACGCAATTTAAATATATTTTACACCGGAAGATCTTTTAAAATGCTATCACTAACGTTGAACAAAGAATCATTAACATCCGTTATATTGAAAGTACCAGATGTGTCAGCACCCTAAAAAACGAAAATGTAAAATTATTTAATTATATTCATTAAAAATACCTGCCTTAGCAATTATAGCATCATCATCCAGTTCTAAAACTTCTAAATCAGACATTATTTTCGTAAAACTATTTTTATCAAATTTAATTAGGGGATCTAATCTCCCAGAAGGGGATGTGCTCATTTTTGTTAAACTTAGATCTAATGGATTTCCATTTAATAAAAAATTGGGTGATCCTTTGATAGCTTTACTCAATTTATGTGGTCTATCTAAAAATAATTTTCTTTTGCTGAATTCAGGTTTTTCAGCATAAATCGGTGATTCGATCATTGTAACAGTTTTACTCATTGCAAAACACAATTTAGCATTCGTTTCAATTTCAGTTTCTATTAGACATACCGGAACTTGCTGATTTTTTATTTCTGCTAGACTTGCATCTTGTGTTTTATTTAGTAAATTCGACTTCTTTTTAGAAGTTTTTTTCAAACTCCTCAAAAAAACGGAAGGATCAAGAATTTTATTACTTTGATTTTTACTGTTGTTCTTGGTATCATTTTTTAATTTTCGTGCGGATTGAGGAAACATTACTGTTGTTTGATTGTTTGCAAACGTAAATTCTTCTATAGTAGGAGGTGAGACTAAAAATAATTAAAAACTATTGATTTTTTTTTATACATCTTAGAACTAGACATAACAATACCACTTTCCATCAAAGGCAAGCAATGTCTAAATTGAACTTGATTGTTATTGAAGTGGGTAATTGGCGGGGTGCACAACAGTTTTGGGGCCAAATTAGAATTAAAAAGTGCATTATTTTTATGTAGAGCAAAAGAGTCCTTATTTTTAGCTATATTTTCATATTCATAATTTAAATTTGTCAACAGTTTCTTGACTTCCGTATCCAATTGCAAAACTTCTCCGTTAAGTTTCTTTAATTCAGTCTCTTCATAGTTAAAAACGCTTAAAGAATTTTCATCGAAAGTTTTTAATAAGTTATCAATGAAAGGACAAATGTTAACAAACACTTTTGATAAAACCAAAAAATTTATTTCATTTTTGGAAATTATTTCCTCTTGTGGGAAAAATGATTTGGCAGACATCACTAATTTCTCTACATCATATTTCAATTTATTTTTTTGTGAATCGAAAATTTCTATATTTTTTCGAATTATTTTCAAATTATCCTCAGTTGCAGCAATATTTTCTAATCGACTGGATATCCTAGTCTTCAGAACTTCATTTGAAAAATCACCAAAATTTTTAACGAATTCTTCGCTTAACAAATTTCCCAAGTACATTTCACGCTTTTGTAATATATCATCAATTGTATTTTTAATAATTTCACTATTGTCCTTACATTTTTTTGTAGCGTTATCTAAAGACCTTAAATAATTTTTAATTAAGAGAATTTAAAAAATATAATTTAGTGTTGCTTACTCTACATAATGCAAGGAATTAATTTTGAAACACTGATGGCGCAACTTTAATTTTGTCAAAAGGGATTTTCCAAAAGGCCTTTAATGAAATGAATAGTAATATAATTTTATATTTAAGATATAAACAATTTTTACTCTTCCAATTTGTAGTTTTTGTCGGCGAGATATTTCTCCTTTTGTTTTACTATTTCTCGTGTAATAAAGTCGGTTAACTCCATCAAAAATGTTAGAAATTTGATTCCTCCAGGCATTTGCACTAAATAATTCCACTGGTGTTTCCATTGTAAATTATATTTTTTATTTATATATGTCATATAATCAACAATTGATGTCCTGAATATTCCTTCAGATTTCTTATCAGCTATTGGCCAATAAAATCGTCTTTTAAACTCATTTAAATCAAAAAGCGTAAGCAAAAAATGCATTACATGAAAAAATGCCTTTTGATTTGGTTTTAAAAATAAACCCTTAAAACAAAATTATTAGACAACGACGAAAAATTATCAAACATACAATACCTCTGCAAATAATTTTTTGAACTCAAATGTTGGTTGATGAAATAACATAAGAGTTTCCAATTTTTTATGAACTTGTTCACTAAGCACTTTTTCTTCTGCTCTGTACGTATCGATTATTGTTCTGTCCATTCTTGCTGGAAAAGCAAATAAAACAAAGTAAATTTCATAAAAATTTACGTGATTATTAAAAGTTGTAATTTCGTTTTTCCTTTTATCAGCTCGAAAAATAAAATTCTTATATCAAGTTTTAGGTAGCCACTAGCTATTTATTTATTTTTGAAAATTAAAATATCAAATTCTGCCATTTTTTTCTAAAAAGGTAATTAATTATTAATTACATATATACAAATGCATTTTATTGTGTTGTAATTAGTTGTTTTTTAGACACAAGATACTTCTTAAAATGTTATGTTTCTCCTCTTCGGAATTACACATTAGAACACCTTCCAAAAATACATCCATTAATTCCTTATCAGGATTATAAAGTAAACAGATAGATGCATACTAAAAATATTAGAAATAAGTTTCTTTTGAATAAATAAATTATTTCAATAAATATACTGTTAAAAAAACTGAAAAATAAAGGCTGTAATCACTTCGGGTTAAAGGTTTTGCGCATATCAGCACTCTAGCTAACCCCGACCAATTTTTTTGAATTAAACACTTTCTAGCCAATTCCAAAAGATTTACAAAATATCCTGTGTCAATTTTTGCGTTTCTCTTTTCAAAATGAATTGAAGCCACGCATTTTTCTTTGTAAATATCTCTAGAACTTTTGTAGTTTTCGAAAAATTTTAAGGTTCTGCCAATTTCTTCTTGCGAAACATTACATGTTGGTGCATCTTAAATATCAAAAATGAATTTTTGGCTGCAAATCAATTATTGACTTACCTTGCTCGTTTTTCAAAATGCTTCGCACAGCTTTTCCACTTTTACGATTTTTAATACCGATTCTCTTGCGTTTTTTTAGAAAAGAAGCGGGCTTATTTGCAGCTAAAATACAGAAAACATTACAATAAAATTATGTAAAAATGATATAACAAACCTTTAATTTGTGTGTCTTTTTCACTTATATGTAATTCATGTATAGTGTTATCATCATGAAAATTATCATCCATATTTTTGTTTGATAATTTAATCAACCTCACAAACAACTGATTTTTTAACTTAAAATTTGACAACTAACTTAACCGACGTCAGTCGAAATATTTATAAAATAAACACATACCTGCAAATAATTTTCCGCTAAAACTTTATCTTTATAAATAACTTTCCGCTAAAACTTTGCTGTAATCTTTATATTGATTCAATGTAAATCTTTATTTGGTGATGAAAATTTCGTTTAAAAAAAATTGGAACTATTCTAAACTAAAAGTTGTAAATTTTCGCCTTTTTTTGAAACTATTAACTGTAACTTCATATTAAATAACTCGTTGAGTTAGCGACGATAACGACTCATTACCCCGATTGTCAATTGTAAACGTCATTTCAACCGTTGTCAAACGCAATTCAAGCGGTTTGTCAATTACACAACTTGTTTACAATCTGTGTAAAAAAATGTCGCTGTGTAGTATTCTATATTATCATTTATAAATAAAAAGACAAATGAAAGAAAAGAGTGGATGTAATATAATTTATTTACTAAACAATTTACTAAATCTCGAGACTAGCTAAAAAATAACGTAACTAGTTTAAAAATACGAGTAGAAACAAAATAACCGGCTGTCTTTGTTAAAAATATCTTAAAATTAACAGCTTGTCAAAAAGTTAAATCATCATTTTTAGCATAAAAAATAAATAAGAGTTAAGGCTTATAATTTTATAATAAGATAACAATAATTAAGAATTATAATTTGATTATGCCTACTGAAGGGACCTAATTTTTGTTTGTAATGAAAAAAAATTTTCATTGATACCGAAAAATTAGGAAAGTAAAATTCAATTTTTTTCTTTCAAAACTTTTTACTATAAATTTTTATGTCGTATATGTTAGACGTTTGATACAACAAATTATTCTGAAAAAGCTAGTACACTCATCCCTCGCTTTAAGGAACTAATATGTTCCGGAAATGTTGTCCGTAAATCGAATCTTTTTACTTACATTATGTTACAAAAACATACTTTTTTACCGAAACTTTTATAGGTACATATATTTCTGTTAATTCGCAAAAAATATAGTAGGATTTTATTATTATTACAACATTAGACAACAAGAATCAAGAACAAATTTTAATTGAAACAAGAAAAAAAGCAATTACATATCTCTCTGATCTTTGTTTACTTACAAAGAGACTTTGGTTTAAATTTTGAATTCCGTAAAACCGAAATTTCGTATAACCAACTTCCGTTAAGCGAAGCGTTATGTGGATTTATTACTATTTAACATGTAAGTTTTATGTCAAGTTTCTTTCCGTTCGGCTCTGTCTGACGTGATCCTTAGAGTATTCTTTTGGCTTCTATTCTTTCTATAGTCGCGACTAACGATGCTTTTGGCTCTGTTTTCGGTTTTGTTCTTTACAATTTTACCGATAACTCTAAGCGTTACTGAAGTTATTTGGGAAGTTTTGGATGGTGGTGTCCAACTAATAGCTTGCAACTTAACGTTAATAAAGTGTCTAGTATTGAGTTTTTCGCGGAGGAGATAGTTTTCTGTTATCCGGCATAATTGTTGCTTCAACGGAGTGGTATTGTGGAGTGTGAACGATTTTTATGATTTCAGGATAGTACTTAATCATAGGTTGGATTTTTGGATCTATTTGAGCCCTATGTAGCGGATGTTTCTCGTATTGAACCTGTTCAGGGGAAATTAATAACAATAAAAACTACTTTCTATTGAAGGTAATGGAATTTTAGGTCTGTTTAATTTTATAATATTTACTATAATTCTACTGATTAGGAAAGAAATGAGCCCGTCACTAGAAAAATGCATTGTGTTAATTATAATTCTTTAGTATTTGGTTGTGGCCTTTAAGTTTTTTTATTTGTACTCGACCTTTTATTTTTATTACCTTTCATCTCCTTATTTTATTTAACTTTCATTATCCACTCTTTTCCCTTTCTCTTTTCTTCCTTTCATGTAAATGATGGCACTTGTTGCTCGTCAATTTAAAGTTTCTTAGTTACAATTACAACACTGTCTTTCCAGAGAGGGGAAAAAGCGATTTTCTGATTTCTATTTTGGTCATAATTTTTATAGTAATATTTGAACTTTGTCAGATACATCGGTCTAATATGTAAACAGTCACCAGGCTTTATCGAAGATTTATACTTAAATATTGGCGTATGTTGAAACAGTAACTTAATATTAAATTTTATTATACATATAAACACTCTCTAAAGCACCATCACACAATTTTGACAGATTTTGATGTAGCATAAAGTGGCATCTTCTGTCAAGAATACCTGTAAATTGAAATTAGCAACAAAAATGACGTTCGCTTTATTATTGTTTTGCCAAAATATAAAAATCTAATTCTTAATTTTTTTGTTTTAAACCATTTTAAAAATTATTTTAAAGAAAATAATTATTTCATTTATTCAATAATAAAATGTTTCATTATTGGACAGATAATGTTCATACTACATCATTCACACCTCGAGATTTTCAAGTTGAATTACTAGCTTCTGCTTTAGAAAAGAATATCATTGTTTGTATAGGACAGAAATCTTCAAAAGAATTTATCGCACTTAAATTGATTCAAGAACGTGCATCAGATATTAGGAGAAATAATTATTCAAAAAAGAAAGCAAAAAAGTGGACGATCTACATAACTAATCGTAACAGTGAATCAACTTATAATTTAATACATCATTTAACTGATTTAAAAGTATACCTTCACAGTCCAACTTCTCAAGGAGTGGAAAAAGCAGATTATGATGAAAATCAAGTATTAATTTTAAGTCCAAAATTTTTTTTAAATGAGTTAGAAGGCAATAGAATAAATTTTTGCCATGTAAATGTATTAATAGCCGAAGACTGTCACGATTTGGAAAATCAAAACGTCCTTTTTCAAATATTCGATAAATTTTATTCCAAATGCCCAGAAAACTCTAAACCTAAAATTTTATGCTTAGCAGGGCCATTACATAGTGCGGGCTGCCTTCCTACTGATTTGAAAGGAACTTTAGATATTTTTGAGAAAAAATTACATTGTGAAGCAGAGACGGCAAGTGATATAGTTACTGTATTAAGGTATAAAATTATAAAGTATGTTAGGTTTATTTAAAGATTAAATAAATTTTGTTGAAGATATTGCTCAAAACCAACAGAAATTATATTAGAATGTGCTCAACCTCCTCAAAATGAACTTATTGCAATTTTAAAAGAAATCATTTTTACTAAGCAAGAATTTTTAAAAGATCACCGCTACGACCCATCTGAAATATACAGTGATGAGTTTTTAGAGGAATTGCAAGGTAATTCAATTACATCTTTCCTACAAATTTTAAAAAACATTTTATTTATAGGTATACCAGATCCTAAAAACGAACCTAATAAGTTTTTGAACATATACTTGGATGTACTTAACGAAATGGGGCCTTGGTGTGCCGATCGCGTTGCACTTAATTTTTTATCACAAATAGAAAAACAAAAAGTAAAAACACCGTATGAAAGGCATTTTTTACTTTTGTGTTTGGTTTCAACGACACTAGTTGAGATTCGATCATACTGTGATTATGTTTTCCATAAATTACCTAAAGAAAAGGATCGCATTGAAAAATATTCGAGTCCAAAAGTATTACGCTTACTTGAAATTTTAAGATGTTTTAAACCCGAAACTCAAAAAACGGAAAATAAAGAACTAGAAAAAATTATAAACGATATAGATAAATTAGATTTCAAAAAGCTAACAAATGTTTTAGAAAGCACTTCACAAATGCTGGAAAGAAATGAAAGTCGGGAATTACGGAATGTCATGGAAAATTTGGAAAATATAGTACAAGATGCACAATTGCAATATTCTACTTCTAAGGAAATAAATATAACAAAATCAGAAAACGTTAATATTTCTAATCATAAAATCGTGTATAATGATAGAAGTCGAAAAAATACCAATAATAGAAACAAGCGCAAGTTTAATCCTAATATTAATGCAAATGGCATTGGTACAGAAAGCAATTCAAGTTATTATCGACACAAAAATCGAGATAACTCAAGTGATCCTGATGCCTTGTGTGGAATTGTGTTTTGCAATAGTAAAAATACAGCTAAAGTTTTATTTGATTTACTATGTGAAATGTCGAAACATGATTCTGACTTAGGATTTCTTTGCGTGCAGTATACAGTCGACAGGGTTGCTGATCCCATTACAGAGCCAAAGGAAGCTGAATTAGAACATAGGCGACAAGAAGAAGTCTTAAAAAGATTTAGAATGCATGACTGCAATTTGTTAATAGGAACATCCGTTCTAGAAGAAGGAATCGATCTTCCAAAATGCAATTTAGTGATAAGATGGGATCCACCAACGACATATCGAAGTTATGTACAGTGCAAAGGACGTGCTCGTGCTAGTCAAGCATGTCATATAATGCTAGTGTGTCCCAATTCAAATCAAATCTCTGCAAAAAACAGCGAAAGGGAATATGATCCTAAGCGTGAAACACTATCACCTTATTGCCATAAATTAATATGCGCAAATGAAAACAGAAATAAAGAAAGAAAAAATGAAATGGAAAACATTTCGTCAGATCATCAGGAAACAAACAAAAAACACAGAATAGAGGTAAATAATCAGAAAACTTTAGCTTTAAAACCAATATCAAATGGCACAAAAGAAGTTGAAAAAATTGAAGTAATTACAATAGAGTCTGGCCACATCTTGGAACAAACCAATCAAAATAATTATTCCAATGAAAACAATGTTTACATAGAAAACAACAATGATATTGTAGGAGAAGAGGAAAGTTCGGATTTAGAATATAGTTCAAGCTCTTCTACAACAAACAGAATTTCATACACAAAATTTGACAAAAACGAGAAAAAATCAAAAAAAAATAAAAAACATGGTTTTGACAACCTCAACCAAATTAACATAATATCTTTGGATGAAGCGTTTGATGAAATTTCAAATCAAATCCAAAATAACCACTTAGAAGCTTCTTCAAAAGACGATAATAGTGATATCGAAGACTTAAATAATGTGAAAGCAGATAAAGAAGACCAAAATTTGAAAAATGGTGAAAGTAAAATACATCATTCTGACGAATTTCAAAAATTCAATTTGAAAGAGAATACATGTTCAAAGCTTGATGAATCTGGAACATTAAAACAATTTAACGAACAAAAAGTTCATAAATGTTTGGTTGAAAATGTAGAAAGCGCATCAAATCATTTAACGGAAACTAACACAATTAACATAGAAAATTCGATAAACTTTGTTATAGATCGTTTGGCAGAATATCGAGAAATAGAAAAGGTAAAAAAAAAACTTGAAATTACCATATTTAATGTATAGATTTAATAAATTCTATAAAAAGCATATTTATATATGTATGTATGTATATAAATAATAGTGTTAAAATTTAATAGATTTTGTTGCAAAAATGTGCCAACAGTGAGCCCTCAATGGAACATCATTTCGAAGCAGAAAGATTTTCTTCTTGCGTTGAACCATATAAACCGTTATCGGAACTCTTAACAGGAGCTTCAGTCGATATGAGTTCTGCTATAGCATTAGTCAATAAATACTGCGCCAAACTGCCAAGCGATACATTTACAAAATTAACACCGTTATGGCGTAAATCAAAAACTACTCGTAAGAGCCACGAACTTTTTCAATATACAATTCGACTTCCAATAAATTCACCTCTTAAATTTGATATCGTGGTAAGTTTTTGATAAGTTAGTAATTTACAAAATACATTATAATATAAACACTAAATTTAAAACATTATAATATAACGTAACCCAATTTAAAAAAAAACCAATCATCAAAGCAACCTTTTTTTATATACATAAAAAAAATATTTTAAATTTTAGTATTTTAACAATTTTACGGTAAAAGAATTTAATAATAAAATAGGAATCTGCTTTGATATTTCAAAAATTATTACATATACTCTATTTAATTTTAATCGTTGATCCAGATAAAATAAATTCGAATTTAATTACATAAGCATAACTGATGATGCAGTCTACTAACTTTCTAGAGAATTCTGCTTCCCTAAATGATAATTACAAAAAAAAGCAGTTAATGTTAAATCCCACCAACTGGAATGTGATATTACGGCAAAAAACTTCAAAGATGGAAAATGTTGATCCCAATATTAGCAGGAAGTTGTTGCCTTATAATAGTAGAAACAATCAGCATCATTTTTCCCACAATTGGACTAATTCGATCTCCATGAAAAAGTATCAACAACATTTTGTAAAAGGTGAAGATTATTTTCTACGTCCTGTTCAAAACAACTGTGCAAATCTAAGTTCAAGTTTTTCAAAAAATTATGCCGATTTTGAACTAAAAGCTCAAATTGACAAAGAAAAAAATATCTTAGAAAAAAGAAGAAACCATTTACGTAAAAACGCATTAGAAGCTATGCTCATGGTAGAGCATAGACGCTTGAGAGATAGAGTTGAAAAAAAGAATCCTGATGACACGATTTTAGGAAATTTAAATTATAAATTTCCAGCTGTCAGAAAAAAAGAGGAAAATCTTTGTAAAGAAAAAGAGAAGATAAAACGCGGAAAAGAATTGAAGGCTGCTAAAATTCATTACTGCATAGAAGAAGCTAAAAAGCAAAAAGAAATGGAATATTTCTGCAAGAACATGCAAAGTGAGAATTCGGGATATGTCGACAGTAAAAAATATACGTCAGATGAAGAAGTAAAACAAAAAGAATTGTTACACTATGACCAACCAAAATTGTTGCATAACAAGTGCAATAAGGAAAAATACACAAAATTTGCACGAAGCTTAAAATTTCCAGAATCGGAAATTCAGATATTTCCCTTTAAACTTCCTATTTGGCAAAACTTAAATGTTAAAGCATCATCTTTGGAAAATGACGCTTTCCAAAATATCAGAAACGAATTTCTTTACAACTTGTCTGTGCCGTGTAAAAAGGAGGAAGTTTCAGATAACAATTTAAAAACAAATTTCAACAATGGTTCTGGTATTTGTCCTGAAATAAAAGAAAATCCCTTAACAGAAGTTAAAAAATATAGTTTGTCTGTATTGAAGCAACTTAATCCATATAAATAATCTTGTAACAATAATGTTATGTACTACATAGTATAACAATACAAAATATAAAATAACTATATTAATATGATTGATATTAATTGAATCAAATATTTAAAAAATCTATTTCATTCGAAAAAATAAATATTAACAATTACTCACTATTGCTTTTTATTAATAAACTTTTGATGTGCACGAACTTGCAGTATTTATTTAGATTTAATAATATTTTTAGGGCCTTCCAATGCCAAGTGATATACTTGCACGACGCTTAGCTGCACTTTTAACTTGCAGAGAATTGCATAAAAATGGAGAGTTGGATGACAATCTTCAACCAATTGGAAAGGAAGGTTTTCATGCTTCAGAACCTGACTGGGAAAATTTTGAGCTTGAAGAGAACGATGAGCAAATTGTTCAAGAAAATTCTGAACCACGACCAGGTACAACTAAACGGCGACAATATTATTACAAAAGGGTAACAGAGTTATATATCAAACAAACATTTTTAAATAAATACGTGTTATTATTTCCCACTTTAGATAGCAAACGAATTTTCGGATTGTCGCCCAATACCTGGTGAACCAGCTTATTTATATTTCATAGATCTTACATTACAATGTCCAATTCCTGAAGAACAGAACACTCGTGGCCGTAAAATTTATCCGCCAGAAGATGCACAACAGGGTTTTGGCATTCTAACTTTAAAACAGATTCCAAAAGTAAGTTCTTTTCCAATATTTACACGTTCGGGCGAAGTAAAGGTGTCGTTAAAGCTTTGCAAAGAACAAATAGTTTTATCAGAAGAGCAAGTAAAAAAAATCAATGTTTTTTTGAATTATACTTTTACAAATGTTCTGAGGCTTCAAAAATTTTTAATGTTATTTGATCCCGATGCAACTGAAAATAGTATTTTTATTGTGCCAACTATAAAATGCAAATCTTCCGCGCAAGGTATCGTTATTGACTGGAATTTTTTGGAGGTAATATGCAAAAATTGTGATAAGATGCCGACACCTGTTCCAGAGCCTGATCGCAAAGGCAGAGACTTTGATGCAAATCGATTTAAAGACGCCGTCGTGATGCCGTGGTACCGTAACCAGGATCAACCGCAATATTTTTATGTTGCTGAAATTTGCTATCATTTATCACCAGAAAGCTGCTTCCCAGGACAAAATTATAAAACATTTCAGGAATACTATTTCCTCAAATACAACATAAATATACAAAACACGAAACAACCTCTATTAGATGTTGACCATACAAGTGCCAGGTTAAATTTTTTAACGCCTAGATACGTTAACCGAAAAGGAGTCGCTTTACCAACAAGCTCTGAAGAGACAAAAAGAGCAAAAAGAGAAAATTTGGAACAGAAACAAATTTTAGTACCGGAATTGTGCACAATTCATCCTTTTCCCGCTTCACTATGGAGAGCTGCGGTTTGTTTGCCTTGTATATTATACCGAATCAATGGTTTGCTTTTAGCTGATGAAATTCGGAAAAAAGTATGTAAAGATTTAGGGTTAGGCAGAAAAGAAATTTTTGACGAAAATTTCGAATGGCCTATGTTGGACTTTGGGTGGAGTTTAGCAGAAGTATTGAAAAAAAGTAGAAAGCTAATTACAGAAGATGATATAAAAAAGCAGGAAGAACAAGAAAATGATATTTTAAAAGAAAATTTTGAGGAACCTGCAAAGCCTACACATAATGAAAGTGCAAAAGAGAAAGAAGAAAAAGTTACAAAGTCAGTGAACGATATTTTAGAAGAAGCTGATGAAAAAATGAAAGCTGATAATTTTGTAGAAATCGGAACATGGTCCAATGACATGGCCAACAACATTGAAAGTGATGCTGATTTAGAAGATGATTGGGGTCTCTTACCATCAAATATTAATTTATGTTCCACCAAGAACACAAATATTCGTTATGGTTCTCCAACGAGCTGGGTGTTTCTCGGCGAAAATAATCAAAGAGATAGACATTTTTCAGATTCCGATGTATCTTATCAGTCGGACGACGAATTTGACATGCGTTCTTTAATAAGTTATTCCAATGGTAATTTTTACCAATGGCAATTCATAAAAAAACTGATGTATTTGAATTTTTCTTTTAATTTCCAGGTTGTAACAATGATATTGAAGATGAAGATGAGAGTAATGAGGCTGGGTTACGCATAGAATTCAAATCTAATAATGTTGCTGAAGCCATTGAAACAGAAGAACAAATTTTAAAACGGCAGAAGCAATTGGCAATTATTCAAGAAACAAGTGAAAACGAAAAAAAATATCAATTGCAAAAAAATCAGGAAATAGGTTTTGAGCTTGAATTATGCCAAAAACAGATTCTGTATCAATCAGAACATTACTTAAAAACTTTTGAAGATTTTCAAAACTCTATATTAAACTTCAAAAATGATATATGCTCGTCAGGGGTATTAAAACGCCATGATGAAAAATTTTCACTACCAAAAAAAGAAGTATTAAAAGTTAGTAATGTAGAAAATGATTTGATAAATGTTCAAAAATTGGTTCCTTATATTTCTCTTAAAAAATTGCAAAGTTATATGTCAGAAAAGTATGGTGATTTCCAATATTGCAATGTACAACTGAAAATTGAGGATATTGAAGAACTTAACCGAATTCACTTGTTGGAAAATCAAGGAGAACAGAAGGAGAAATATGAGGTTCTAGGTATTGGAGATTTATTTGATAATTTTAATGATTTAAATGCCATTCAGTCTAACCAGGGTAAATGTAAAAATATATTAATCGATTTTGAAAGGAATCCAAATTCAAATATATTTAATAAGGATGAACAAAAACAATGTGATCCTATAAACGACAATTTAAATATTGAATTTAGCTTTGATTATCAACCTGAACTAGATGGACATCCAGGCCCTAGTCCTAGTGTAATATTGCAAGCTTTGACTATGTCTAATGCAAATGATGGAATAAATTTAGAACGCTTAGAAACTATAGGGGATTCTTTTCTCAAATATGCTATTACAAGCTATTTATATTGCACTTACGAAAATGTTCATGAAGGAAAATTAAGTCATTTGAGATCAAAACAAGTTTCAAACTTGAACTTATATAGATTAGGCAGAAGAAAAGTGTTAGGTGAATGTATGATTGCAACAAAATTCGAACCCCATGATAATTGGTTACCCCCTTGTTATTATGTTCCTAAAGAATTGGAGAAAGCTTTGATAGAAGCTAAGGTTTGTAAATTTTTTTGTCATATTTTATGGTTATTATAAAACATATAATTATAGATCCCACCTTGTCATTGGAACTTGGCTGATTTACCAAATATTAAACAACTCAGCAGCGAAGAGATCTGTGAGTTAGTGAGAAAAAAGGCTGAAGCTTTAGATTTATTAGATGATGATACTGTTGAAGAAATTATAGCATCTCCACTTGATAAAAACATTGATGACACGAATTTTACCTGCTTCATTCCATACAACCTTGTTACACAACATTCCATTCCAGGTATTTAACAGAATAATTGTTAAATTAATTACATTTAGCAAAAATTTTAGATAAGTCAATTGCCGATTGTGTTGAAGCTTTGATTGGAGCTTATTTAATAGAATGTGGACCACGCGGGGCACTGCTTTTCATGGCATGGCTTGGGATAAGAGTTCTCCCTATTGTAAAAAAAAATAATAAGCCCGGTGAGCTGCGTAAACCAGGTACAACTTTGCCTGATGAAAATAATGAAATTACTATTTATGGAGAATGGAATGCCCCAAAATCACCCCTTTTAAAATTTGCTCCTAATCCTTTTGAACAACTTGAGCTTCTGTTGGATGGTTTCAACCACTTTGAAGATGAAATTGGTTATCATTTTAGAGACCGCTCTTATTTATTGCAAGCTATGACACACGCAAGTTATTCACCCAATAGATTAACTGACTGTTATCAACGATTAGAGTTTTTGGGTGACGCTGTTTTAGACTATTTAATTACACGTCATCTTTATGAAGACCCGAGACAGCACTCCCCTGGCGCTCTGACAGATTTAAGATCAGCGTTAGTAAATAATACCATTTTTGCATCATTAGCAGTTAGGCACGGTTTTCACAAATATTTTCGGCATCTTTCCCCAGCATTAAACGAAGTTATTGATCGTTTTGTTAGGATTCAACATGAAAATGGACATGTTATTAGTGAAGAAGTAAAAACTATAACGGAATAAATCAAAATAATAGCTTCAACGAATTTTTCTTTTTTGCTTATATATCTAGTATTATTTGTTATCAGAAGAGGAATGTGACGACGCAGAAGATGTTGAAGTGCCTAAAGCTTTAGGTGATGTCTTTGAATCTGTGGCAGGTGCAATATTTTTAGATTCCAATATGTCATTAGATATGGTGTGGAAAGTATACAGTAATATGATGAAACCTGAAATCGAACAATTCAGTAATTCTGTTCCAAAATCTCCAATCAGAGAATTGTTAGAATTAGAACCAGAAACCGCTAAATTTGGGTGACTATTACATACAATTTTCTAAAAACAAATGTTTTCCGATTATATATCACTTATTTAAGAGTTATATGATTTACTTTAATTACAGACGCCCAGAGAAATTAGCTGATGGCCGACGTGTACGTGTAACAGTTGAGGTTTTCGGTAAGGGAACATTCCGAGGCATTGGCAGAAATTATCGGATTGCTAAATGTACAGCTGCAAAGTGCGCTTTACGTCAATTGAAAAAACAAGGTCTTATAACAAAAAAACATTAATGATGAATCATATATAAATTTTTTGTATGATAGCAAAAGTAATTAAAATATTACAAAACGCTTAAAACTGGGTAAAATAGATTGTTACATACTTATTTGTATGTAAATTAACATTAGCTTAATTTCTATTAAAGTTAACTTAATGGTTAATTTTAAAATTTGCAACAATAAATTATAAGTTGCAAATTATAAAATTAACCATTTTTAATTTTATCTTTTAATTATGTATGTATGTAAAAGTTAATTTTTTTAAACTTAGCTACTTTTTATATAATTATTTTGTATAAATCAAACATTTTATTTTGGTAAGCCAAAGAATTTTGAATTCGAACAATAAAATTAAAAATTTAAAAAATGTTTAAAATGAAATAATTTGTAGTTTATTTGTGCTTTAAAATATATCTCATATGAAACACAAAATATAAGACAGACCTTCATAATATGTAAAATTTTTTGTTAAGCTATAATTTTCTTTATTTTGTCCAGTTGTACTCTACCCACATTCATTCTATAACTTTATATACAAATGCTTATCTATAAAATCAGTTGTTTCTTATTATCAATAAAAAACTATTTTTAAACTCTCACAAATATTTGTGAATGTACCTTGGAAAACTAACGTTTCAAAAAAAAGTGATTTAACAAAAATAATTGAAATAACATTCTGATAAAACTTAAGTTACTTTTAATGTATTATTGCACGTACATATTATGTATTCAAAGTATGGTAAATTTATCTTTACATTTAATACAATTAGACTACAATTGAAAATATGTATTTGTTTTACGACTATTTTCATACATACTTACATGTGTATATCATTAACGAGCACATATTATGTAGGTACCTTTAAGAAAATAATGAGCATTGATAATTTTTAAAATTAAATTAAAATTTTTATAATTAAAAAAAACACTAGATATTATACTATGTGTTATACTAGTGGGCTCCTAAAAAGTGAAATTATACATGATTGTTATTTCTTTTAAGTAGTATTCTAATAATAAACATATGTATTTGATTTGATTAGTAACACAAACAAACCAAATTGAATTAATTTTCAAAAAATTATTTATCTTAAGTAATTGGGAAATGTACTTTCAAAATTAGCTAGGTATTTATTTTCATAAAGTAGTGTGTAGGTATATCTAACTTTTTTAAATACTATTTTTTAAAATATATTGGTTTTAAGAAAGCGGTAATTTGAAGGAATTGATAAAAAATAAATCAAAAACCAGTTCATAATTAAAATAAACCTCATCCACTCATATGTACGAGTATATATACATATCTACACTTACTATATTATTTAAGCACCATTAAAGACGCGTAAATTGTAATGCATTATATACTTTATTGTTACAAACAAAGAACACAGGTATGAAAATAATATGTATAATTACAAATATATAAAATTCTTACATACTTTAATGTTAAGGTCAGTTGTAATACATAATATCCTGAAAAACCAGTTTTTACCTATCTAAAAAAACCTATTTGCTATTCAATAACTTAAGGAAAATTAAAATGAATGCAATGTTATGCCTAATATATTTCAATACACATTAAAAAAATTGAAATATATTAACAAAAAAAAAACTCGTGACAGTGGTGGGATTCGAACCCACGCCCCCGAAGAGACTGATGCCTAAAACCAGCGCCTTAGACCGCTCGGCCACACTGCCTCATCTATTTTTCTGTTCATTATACAATATACGTTTCTATTTCTTTTAAGTTTTTAAATTTATAAGCTTTAAAAAACTAGCTGTAATTTTAAAAAATCAAATTTACATGTAATAAAAAACAAGTACATACCAATATTGATTAAAATTATGTACATAATATGTGATACTCATTATTTGATGTGATTATCTTTTTTGTTTCGTATTTTCTTTTAGTTTTTCCAAATTTTACTCAGATGCTTTAATTTTAGGTAAGTTAGTTATTAGGTTTTTTGGGGACACCACTACAAAGAATGCGTTTTCTTACCGCTATAAGATGGTATGGAAAGTGGGGTAATTATATATGTATTTGCAATTATATACATATTCATATTATTGTAATTATATATTGTATATTATTTCATTAATCATATAATCATAAAAGGCGTCATTATATTTCATAGACGCATTTTCATGTCATTTATATATGTAAATGTAAGAATGTAGATAATAAAAACGAGTATATGTAGTTAGCACAGCACATCCATATGTATATTTATATCAAATGTATACTTTTCCAAATTCAAAACGCAAAAATAACATCAATATTCTACACAAAAAAAAGTTATTTTTTCTACTTATAATGTAGCATTTTAGTAAAAAATTAAAAGAATTTAGGTTTTTTTAAATCAGTTTTTTAATGTTCCTATAACACAAAACTTTAAGAAAACCGTTAGTTCGTCAGCTGTGAAATGTCACTCTCTCTTAGCGTCCAAACCTGTATTTCTGCCAGCGTGCGAAACATTTCAATCCAAAAATTTGCTGCTGTATATTTACAGATGTCACGAAAAACCAGATAAAATATGTCAAAAATAGAAAAAAAGAAAACAGTAACATCCTTCCTCGCAAGAAAATCTTATTTCTAAAAAAAAAAACCCAACTTAAGAGTTCAAAAAGCTTTCAAAAATTTTATAAAATAAGTAAAACATAAAAAAATATTTTTAAATTTATTTTTTAGAAAATTTTAATTTTGGATTAAAAAATATGAAATTTACGAAAAACCATTTATGAATTAATGAGTTTTTAAAAATTTTTTAAAAACAACACCTTCTCACAAAACCAAAAAAAAAATATGTTTTGCTTTTGACAACTTTATGATTTTAAAATTTTAGGTCTATCTAGTATAAGAAAGTTTTTAAAAGGTTTATGAAGTTTTTGCGTGCAAACCCTCTGGGATAATACTTTTTGAACAAAAAGGAGAGAAAATGATGACGTTTCATTCTCTCAATGTTTAACATTTTTTTAAGTTTTGTAAAGTAAAATTTAGTGTTTTGAAAACATTTAAAATCTTACAGCTGTCGAAATATGTACATGTTTTTCTTTGTTATGTCTGAGTCTGTTGTTTTTAAAAAAAAAGGTTCATCAATAATAATTCTTTTTTTCAAAACTTTTCAATTAAAATAAAGTAAACAAAATGGATTCGCAAATGGTTTTATTTAAGTTTCACAAGTTTATAATCCCAAATCAAAATTTTCAGTTTTTGATATAACCTTGACATTACAAAAAACATATTTCTGTCAACCGTGAGTATAACCATAGACTTCTATAATGTACTATATGTACTGTAATGTAATATATAAAGATGTCTATGGTATAACGAAAAAATTTTTGTTTATGTTTGATAAATACTTTGAAATTTGACGTTTATCGCATATTTATAAAGTTTTTATAAGTTTATTCAAGTTTTCCCGACTGATTTATTTTTTTTAAATGAAATTTTTTCTTTGCCAGAAATTATGTCAGTTTTTCGATGACGTCATCGTTGTTCTCAAAGTATTAGACGCTTTGCATACTAAAACATTGTAAAGTTTTTTCAACTTTTATACCTAAAGTTTTTAAAAACTGTCTTTTACAAGACAAACCTACAAATTAAATGACGGGTTTTACACGAATGATTTTTTGAATTCGTAAACAAGACGATTAAATTTGTAAAAAGTGAAAAAAACATCAAGGGAAAAAACATCATTTTTATCTCTTTAAATAACCACAAAAATATGTACCTATGGAAACGTGTACTCGCCTAATAACTAGCAATTGTAAATATTAAAACAATAAAACATAAAATATAACGGGTAATTTAAATTTTTAAAATAATTCCGATATATTATGCATAAATTATATATAATTATTTCGTTTCTCAATTTCAAAACTCAAATGCTTAGTTGTGACTTTGTTATGACATTGTGTATGTAAATTTGTAAATCATGAACTAAAAAAAATCTCAATTTAATCTTTTAAATTCGCCATTATCGTTAAATAATTTAGTTTGACAAGACCGCATACATATTATTATATTACACAAAAAAAGCATATTAAATATGCAACATTTTTTGTTTCTTTCACGAGACGGTATTGAATTTTAACTGAATTAAATTATTGAAAAATAATGCCTAATTAGGCGTTTTTTTTTTTTCGTCAAAAATTATTTTTTAATTTTTTAATAACATATAAAACGTATGCTACACCATTCATACAAACGAAAAGACGTGTCAGATAAATTATTTATTAGGACTTTCGAACTACCATTATGTAAACCTAAATTCTTTTAATAGTTTTAGTAATCTGACAAAAAACTGAGCTATTTTTTGACAACGTACCATAAAACTTGTACAGCTTATCAAAAGATTAAATAATAATTTTTAATTATCATTTCCTCTAATTTTTAGTACTTCACTTCTTTTTTGCCGCGAACCATAAATAAAATGAGCGCATTTAGCATCACCGACTATTTCATTCAATGAGGAAAAGCTTTATAGGCTTAAAGCTTTCTCGTTTCAAATTGACAGTTCTATTAATTGACTTTTAGAAATTACACGTCATTTATGTCAAAATATTCTTATCTTTTGCGGGTTGACTTCTAGCACATAAAAAGAAAAAAATAATGATTTTATAAGAAAATTATTTATTTTTAAATACGAAAAGTGATTACGTGTTAATATGTAATAAACTGTTAAAAATATTCAGAACTCATAATAGATGTAATTACAATGCATTAGAAAAGTTCTTAAATGAATTTTATATAAAAGATCTCACATTTATTAGAAACGTAAACAAAATATTTACTATTTATCAATTAAAATGTGTAAACAATAAGTGTAATTAATTTTAATAAAAAGAATCTACGAACAACAAAACGGCAGAATACAAACAAAACTAAAAGTATAAAAATACCCCAATGGATTTAGAAAAACTAATTGATTTTTTAAAAGACATAATAATTGTTTCTCACACAGCAGCCGATAAGACAAGGAGTGACAATAATTTTAAATATTCAACCTCTAATACCAATTTTGTACAAAGTCGAAAAGAAAAACTAAGAAAATTTAAAGTAATAACATTGGTGCTTCAACTAGTTTATAAGCTAGATAAAGTTACTAGTTATATCAACATAATATACAAATATAATTTCCTACTCCAACAACTTTCACTTCTTTGTACGTGAAAAACCTTCAGAAAACTTGATTCTCGTATTGTGGGTTTTAAATCCAAAAATTCGAATGCTCATTATGAACTAAAGCTTCGTAGTTTTATCTAGTTTTTTAAATTCAGTAGGTAATTAGATGTCGTACCGTTAGGATATAACAACGGTTAAGAGCGGTCAAATAAAAAGCTTACTTAGAAAAAAATAAAAAATAAAAATTTGTTATCAATTTTATTTTGAAAAGAATAAACAAATATATATATATATATATTTTAATAGATAAATCCAAAATTTTATTTTTGGCATAATGACTGTTTTTGAAAGTTTAAGAGAACGTTTGACTAAGGCTGGACAAGAACATTTACTTAGATTTTGGGATGAATTAACTGTAGATGAACAACGTCAATTATGCGAAGATATAGAACAATTAGATTTGCTAGAATTAAAAACATATTTTGATCGTTCTACATCTTCTTTAAGTGAAGCTGCTGGTTGTTTGGACGAACGCCTACAACCTATACCAGATTCAAAATTATTCAGTTTAAGCCGAGCATCTAAAGAAAAAATTGAAAAATATAATAATGAAGGCTTGAGACAAATAAGTCAAGGTCATGTTGGTGTTTTATTAATGGCTGGCGGACAAGGTAATTTGTAATTTTTTTAACTAATTAAAGGATAACATAAACAGACAATATCGAAAACACTAAAGCCTATGAACCGACTTTCAAAAATGTAATAAAAAATAATGTAAAATATTTATGAGTAGTAATAATGTAAAGTATTTACCGGTTATTTGACATATATTTTTTAGTATATAAGTATAAATGTGCAATTGATTAAAAGTTTTGAATTTGTAAACTTACTTACTCATTGAATTTCACGTTTTTTTCAAGAAATTCCCCTTTGTAATTAAATTTTGTGTTGATCTGATACTTCTACCATTACTTCTTTTATTTCTTGCTAATAGTTTTTATTTATGATGGCCGGTAAAAAGTTCGAATAGTTTTTTTCCAAGTTGACATGGATCGTTACATGAATTTTTTCTCATCCATATCGTTCTTAATTTTTTCTCATCATATTTATTTTTACAATTACTAGCGAAAAGTACAATGCAATTCATACATACAAACTTTGTGTTATACTTTACTTAAGTACATCGACTTTGGTCTTTTGTAATGAGTACCAACAATTTGCATTAACATTTATTTGGTGAAGTATTGTGTTCATTAAATATTTTTATTTATAAAATCGATGGGAACATCAAACAAAATATTCAATATAATATTATTTAAAATATTTACTATTGAACTTATGCTTGCATTACATTAACTACAAGATCATTAAACAAATGATTAGCTTATATTTTTTGGATTGTGATGATTGATGAGAAACAAGTTCGCCGTTTCCGTTCTGACTTTTAAACATTTTTCATATTTCCTGTGATTATTTTACAACAAATTAAATTAAATAAAACGATCTGAATTCATACATGTGCATACATATACAATTCTTTTTGCCATAAATGTAGTTATTAACTTAATATATAAACACAGTCCATGCACTGTGTATTTATATTAAGTTGATCAATACAGTTATTAAGTTATCAATATATTTTATGATCATAAGTAAAAGGAAATAGGTTAGTATCAAATATCATAGATTAGTTTTAGGTTATACGTACGTTAAAATTACACTACAATACTACTACTCCTATTACAAAATTCATATGCTGATGTTCCTTTAGAAGACTTAATAATTTCAATTTTGTAAAAAATTTAGAAGACAAAGAACACTTTTATTCATTATAAAAAACTTTACAATAAAATTACACCACTCCAATATTATGTACATACCTACCAATAAATATTCAAACATATACTTACCATGTAGTAGGTATGGTTTTTGAATTCCTATAGTTAAATTTTATTTAAGCTACATATTAATGAACAACAATATTGAAGGTAAGCAAGTTAAGTTCAGCAAAATATGCGTTTATTTTGAAATAAACGCATATCTTGGTAGAAAATATTCATATACCAAGATAATGTATAAAAAATTTCAAGAAATTGAATAAGTAATAATAGTAAAAGCTAAGGTTTAAGTTTTTTGAAGTGCATATTTATAATTATATTTAAATGTGCTTTATGCACATACATACTTTGCATTAATTTAAGAATACAAATTTTGAAAATTTTTATTAAATTAAATTTTAAATTTATCTTCCTTTTTTCATTTTATTACCATTTTTTAGGAAGTAGTTAATAACCCATATTAATCTACTTCTGTTAGAAGTATCGCAAATTTTGTATGATTTAATTGGTCAGATTTTATAGATAATACAATAAGATACAAAATAGGGTCAGAATCAAGACTGGGTTATATTTTTTTTATTATTTTTGAAATTTTTTTGACTTCTATACATTCTTTTACCATCACCTACATACATTCTTTTTTAAACTATAAGTATATAAAACTGTAAAGAAAAATCAATCTTTTTCTAGGTGATTTTTTGTGTGATTGTGTATAAATCGGCATTTATAATTTATCATACCTGTTTATAAACATTAAAATTCTTGAAAGAAAAATATGCTAAAAATTAGTTTGAACTAATAGATATTATTATATATTACCTATATACATATTATATATGTATGCATTTAAAAATACATACTCACTTTACTATTTTTTCAAATTTTGTTTCGATTCTAAGTTATATTGTAAATTATATGAATATTGTTAGAAATGTTTAATTTTATTTTTCATTATAATATATGTCCAATTATTCATTTTCTATATGTAAATTTGTAAATATGTAAATTTTTAAAGTTTAAATCAAAATTACAACTAACTCATGTTATCAAAATTATCTTATACCAATTTCACAGAAAAAAAAACAGTTCATATCTAATATTTTCCCGTACTTAGTACAAATATAAACAAGATTTACTGAAATACAGTTTTACATTAAGAAAAAAAAAAAAAAAAAAACATGAAAAAGTTTTTTACAGTATTATAATGAAAAAAAAAAGAAGTATCCCTGTTCAGTCTTAACTTTACTCACACAAATTTCAAATAACTACTTAAATATATTAAATATAATGTTCCAATATTTTATATTTTAATATACTTAAATAAACTAATTGTAGGTAAGGTTCAATATGATTTACTTATATACAGTGCTGTACTCGTAAAATTAGCATAGGGTATACGCTTGAGAATATAAATTTTTGGTAAAAATAAACAAGGTTATTTTTAATTATATTTTTATTTGAAAAAAACATAATTACCATTTTCAAAAATTAAAGGTTCGGTTATATTCGTTTTCCGTTTTTCGTTAAAGGAGGCTTGTTTGATTATTAATTTGAATATATATATAATATATTATATTATTTGTAGTTGATATATTTTTCCCAAGAAATTTTTACTAAATGAATGAAATATTTTGTGTGAATTGTTAATTTGAAAATTTTTTGCAATTTTTCAGTACAATTTTTATCATCATTTTTTTTTTACCATTACAAAGAAAGAAAATAATAAATTTTTAATAAAAAATTTGAACAAAATCATAGGGTATACGCTATTTTTAAGTAAAACCACTAGGTATACGCTATCTAAATTTTAAAAGCATAGGGTATACGGCGTATACCCTCGTATACCCTCCACTACAGCACTGCTTATATATGTATATTTATGCATATGTTATAATATGCATAATACTAAATAAATTTATGCATATGTTATATATGTATTAAATAAATTTTAAAAATAAAAATAAAGATATGCATAATATTAAATTAAAATTAAAAAAAATAAATTAATAAAGAAAAATTATACCTAGTATTTCAAAAAAGATAATTATTTTTATTTAAAACAATATATATAAAGCGAAACAAGAACACAATCAAATATGTTATGAATTTTATTATTGATTCTTAATTAATAAATGTCTTCAATATACAATTTTTACATAATTTTAAGTAAACAACTTATAGGAAGGCATTAAAGTAGTCTATTTTTTTTTTCATTTCTAATAAATTTTTTCACATTAACAATTATGTGTAATTTGTATTTTTTCGATTCAAATAATTCTCTTTAAATAATCATGCAAATTCATGTAATTTTTTTCCCAAAACTCCCAATACTATAAAATACAAATGATTAAAAAAAAAACTCTCTTAAATATTAAATGAATAATAATAATACTATAAATATATAAGTAAAATTTTTAACAACAAATAAAAATCTGTTTTTTTTCTTTTTTAAAATGGATTTTAAGTGCTTTGCAGAGACAATTTAATTTTAGATTTAGATAAATTTTTTCTCTTACATTTTTCTTCTATTTATTTACTTACACGCATATTATTCCTCAGTATAAGAAAGAATATAGGTCTAAAAATTATTCTTGTTTTTTTTTTTCAATTTTTATTTCGTTTTGAAAAAAAATATAAAAAAAAAATTATTTTCTCATATTATTTTGTATCTTAATCTTTAGCTATACTGCACAATAATAATTTCTACCGGTTTAATTGTGAGAAAAAACATTTATTTCATTAAATTTTTATTTTTAATAATTGTAAAGACACATTGACTTTCAAAAAACTTTGTTTAACTAAATTCAATACACCATAAATTCTATTTATGTGTTAGAATAAGGAATTGTAAAACAGTTTTTATCTTAACAGCGTTCCACTTATTTATACAATTTATACTTGCTTATATAACTTGTTAACTTACATAACATTTAAAAGAATTTGTCAATTAAAATTAAATTCACCCGTTTTGTATGCCTACAGATACACTACAGATGTAGTTATATGAAACCAATTTTATATGAAACAATTTAAATACGAATTATTTCTCCTTGATTAAACAAAATTCTTATGAAAGGAAACCAAAAAGCTTAAGTTAATAAATTTATAGTATTTTAATTTTTATAAAAACATGCATAGATATATTTCATTTATATTACTTATTTTTTATATTTCTATGTTAAAATTTATAAATTTTCTATCTTGTATGTTGTAATTTCTTTAAAAAAATACCAAAATACTATTGATATTAACTGGCGTCTAGTATAGCTTTTAATTTATCAAAACACAAAAAATATTCTTATAATATAAGTATTTATATTAAAATGTACATACAACACTTATATAGTTTTCAACATTATATTATAGTCTTACCCAATTACAATAAAAATTATTAAAAATTGTTAAAAAAAGTAAGAGATTAAAAATTAAAATTATCGAATTTTAAATTTAAATATTTTCTTTTCCGTATAAATCACTCTTATTATAAATTTACCTTATAAATTAAAAAGGTGCATAATGCATAACAAAATGATCTGCTGGAAATGCTAAAGGCTTTTTTAGTAAAAAAAAAACACATTTTCAGAACAAATTAATTTAAATAAGAAATATATAATATTATAATACAGATCACTAAAAACAATTATGCCTCAAACAAAATAATTGAATTTTTTAATCATGTTGCTGTTCATATTTTTTTTCCATTAACTTTATTATTTTTTTTTTTTTTTGTTTGTTCAAAAGTACAAAAAAAAGGCACATTTTTCAAAAATATTATTGCATTCTCCGACAATAATAACCCAATGTTTTACATTTTTCACATAAAAATTGTGGATGAACTTTCGATTGATCAGAAACATCTAATCCATCAGGTTTGTCAAGTGGTCGTTGTTTATGTGGATAGACATTTATATGACATTTGATACATTCCTGGCCCATATTGGCCCATGAGTTTCCGGACATCCATTTTCTTTTACATTTTTGACATTTGTATTCACCAAAACAACGTTTTTTACCTTGATATGGTGTTAAGCCTTCACCTTTTGGATGTGCTTGTGGGCAATCTCTAATAAAATGTCCTTTTTTAAAACATAAATGACATAAATAATTGATAGGCGGTGGTCTTATTGATTTTGTAGTATTATTGCTATTGTCATTATTATTATTATTAATATTATTATTATTATTATTAATATTGAAATGATTCGGTTGATTTAAATTCAATGGAATTTGATGATTATTTAAAAAATCAGTTTGATAAAATTGTTGACATAATTCAGCAATTGCTAAATCGAAGTCATTGTTCATAATGTTAGGATAAAATCCAGATGATGTGGTCTGTGTTGAATTTAAAATGTTGAAATTTTGTTGATCGATTTGATGTGATTGCTGTTGTTGTTGTTGCTGAGATTGTTGATGAAAATGATTAGGTATTTGTCCATTATGATTCGAAATTTGTGTTAGTGAATTTGAGAATTCTTGAGAATTGTTGTCAATTGGTAAATAATATTGTTGATACCAATGTAAATTAGTTGTATTGATTTTCGGATCTGATGTTGAGTTAGATATTGTTAAATTTTCAAATTCATTACAACTATTAAAATTATTTATCGATAAAAGATTCGTTTGTTTTAAGTTATTCAATTTTTGTAATGGCGACATATAAAAATATGGGTCGTCAAATTTTGGGGTTATTTGAGGTTGCACTGTTGGTGGCATATTTTTCTTTTAGTTTTAATTTTTGTCCCGTTTTTTTAGAATTTTGCCATATATAATTAATTTTTTTTTACCAGTTTTATTTTTTTATAATTTAATCTATTTAAATATTTGAATTTTATTTGATTTTTATATAAAAAAGGTAATTTTAAAATTATTACGCATTTAGTGCGACGGAATATATGTAGGTACAATACATATGTATAATATTTTTCACTTTTCTTAACATTAAAATATTATAAAAATACCGATATTATATTGAGTAATGTCTGTATTCTATATATATATAGAAATCTATAAAATATTTATTTATAAAAATTTTTCTTTTCGATGTAAAAACAGCGCAATCCTCTCGAGTACTGAATAAAATTTTTATTTTTTAAAACTTATTCACATTGTTTCGGGTTGTATATTTATTTTTTCATTGAATTTTAAAAAAATTTACAGCACTTTGAGCATATATATATCTATATATACAACATCCTATATCATTTTATATATATAAAAAAAGAAAACTTCTGATTTTCAACTTAATCAGCAGAATTTTCATCTAATGTTCAGCTCTCTTTCTCTCAGCGGGAGCAAAATTATGTATCTAAATATGATTTTTTTCATTCTTCTGTAAGATCTGAATATTAAATTCAAAATATTTATATAAAATTAAAAAAAAAAAAAGATGAAGAAAAACAAATAAAAAACAAACATTTTGATATTAAAAGATTATATTATATTCCAATTCATCAAGATTTATGAAAAAAATTACAATATTTTTATAAGGACACTGAATATGAACTGAAAGTATAGAATGAAATCTAAAAAGGGATCATTATTATAGTTTGCCACTAATATAACTTTCTTAAATTGCAGTGAAAATTACATAATTTCTTATTAAGGGTCAAAACTACTTTGCTATTTAACTTTTTTAAAAAGCAAAGTGCTCTTAACAGTTTGCAGTGTCCAATCAATCAAAATATTATGTTTTTTTTTTTGTAAAAGTTCCTAAAACGTAATTCTAAATTTTGTTGGATCGCTTATAATAATTTTTAATATCTAAATTTATTAAAAGTCATCTTTGTTCTGCAAAATCTGCATTATCTGCAATAAATATGTAATATTGCGTTAAAAAAAGAAAAATAAAATTGATTAGTTTTTTAAAAGTTTTTTTGCCAATTACAAAACGCTTATATATAAAATGCATCATTTATCAATTTCAATGTAAGTTTCAATTCGTCAAATTTCATTACTTACATTATTATATAATTATAAAATTACTCATATAATTATAAAAGTATTAGAACCAGAAAAGATTTTGAAAAATTTAAAAATCTGTTCAATCGGAAATTAAAAAAAAAATTTCAACTTTGAGATTCGAAGAGCAGTTTTGTTTACTGTAACTTAAAAAAAAAAGTGCTTGATTTGCGTTTTATGTAAAAATCTTATAGCACAAGTTTAGTTTGCTTAAGCTGTTTATTGTTTACAAGTTTTTTTTTTATTGGCTGGTACTGTTTATTCTTCGGTTTAAGTTTTCTATAATAATAATTTTAAGTTAAAATCAAATGATTATTAAACGTTTTTATATTGATTGGATATTTGTAAAATTCGTTTATTTCCCGATTAAATTTATGACCAAATTCCGGATAAAAATAGTTTACTTTATTTTCAATTCTTATGAAAAAAAAATAATAATTATACATAATATATATGTACCAACGAATATATGTATTTAACCAGAGTTATATACACGCATCAGTACGCACATGTGATATAGCTAATAAAGCTATATTATTTTTATTAGAGACATGTCCTATGTCATAACTTTTTGAGACGATAATAGCACATCTTAAAAGCATTTATTTACCTTATTGCAATTCCGATTATCTATTATTTTTGAAAACTTACACATTTGAAAATTTGAAGGTTGTATATAACCCAAGTAAGAGAATTTTATTAAATATCGCTTGTTCTATCTTCCAAAAATCTTATACTTTCGGTATCTTAACAATAAATCTAAAAATTTTTAAATAAAAAAAGTTTTATTTTTTTTAATTTCAATTAATCATTACTTATATTTAAATGTCTTATTTTGTGGATGCCGTGAAAATTGCATATTTGTGGAGTAATTCCATTTACTATTGCATATGAAGAATAAGTTCGTGTCTTGTAAAATCATTTACTATATATTTTATTATGATGCAATTATCAACTTTATACATACATTAAAAATTGAATATATTCAACCACATGCAAAAATACAAAAATTAAATAAATAAATGATAAAACAATCTCCAGCTTACCACTTCCTTAATTTAGTACCTCTCTTATTTAAGTTCTTACATTAAGAACAACTTTATAATATCCAATTCAAGGTTATTTGAAAACCTTTTTCTTTTAAATTTTTAAATAACTTCATATGTAGGTATTAAAGCTTTGAAATTCTTTATTCTGGTTTCATAATTTATGTCATGCAATAAAGTAAATCCGTGAGTAAAATTAAAATACATATGTATATGCATAACAGATTTTAAACGGTTTGATGTTCTAGTTTTGAAATATTCTACTCTTCTATATGCAAACACTGAAAATTAAGTAAAATTTTTGATTAAACCTAACTGTTATAAGTTGAATAAATTTAAATTTGTTTAACATTTTATAAGTTATATATATAAAAATGTAGAATAAATCATATTAAATCATAATAATTTGCCATAAAAATTATTTCACAATAAATTATCAATTAATTCTTAAATTTAAAATGAAAGTGGTTTTTTTTTGTGCTCGAAAAGTTCAAGGATATTGTTATTCATTTAGTTATTAAAACAAGTTATTTTTATTTTATAACAAACACGTACATACGTTATGTGTTTGTACATTTATCTGCAATATAAAGAACAAACGTACCAGAATTTTGAGAAGTTTTAAAATAGAATATGTATTATGTATTGTCAAAATATTTGTTGAATGTATGTACATATATATGTAGCGCTTTATAATAATTAAGATAATAAATTAAAAAAAAAGTATCCAAATATAACAATAGCCAGTTAGGATTAATAAAAGCAATAACTGTTAACAATAATAGTTATAAAATTTTAAAAGAAAAATTTAAAAAAAAAAAAAAACAAGACAACAGAAATAATTTAAAAAAGACCAGTTTCTTTCTTAAATTCCACTTTGTTTTATTATGAGGATCGTAATTCTTACATAAAAAAAAATAAATAAAATTTAAACAAAATTTTTATAAAAAATTTCAAGGCCATTTGGTCAACTTTTAAAAAAAACCAATTTTTTTTTTCTGTTTTTGTTTTTTTGAAAATTTAATGGAAATTTTTTTTTAATTTTATTTATATTTTACTATTATTTCATGCATTCAAATTATACATACATACATACATATTTATCAAAATATGCATAATTATACAAATCTATTATTTCAATTCATTTTTTAATAATAAATTCAATAAATTATTGCAAAATATAAATTTCTATTGTATTAAAATAAATAATTTATGTACATATACATATTTATTATATGTATTATATGTATTATATGTATATGCACATTATATGTAATTATATGTAAATTTGTAAGTATGTAAATAATTTCAAGATTATTTTGAAATTTTCTTTTACATTTTACACCGTTTTATAAAATAATTAGTATGAATTATAATAAATATAAAAAACGTAAAAATAAGTATATTGTAAATAAATTCTGTTCAACCGAAACTATGGTACATGCTATAAATACATACATATACTTACATTTTATACTAATTCATTAAACTTTCAATTAAAATAGACCAAAAGTAAATCGAATCTTGAAAAGAAAAAAAAAGTGATAGAAAATAGGACGTTATTTACAATAAAAATTTTCTTCTAATTTTCATAATATTTAAATTACATAACTATTAATATGTATAGAATACAAAAAAATAAAATTGATGTGATTAGAACGATCGCAAGACGTATTGCCTAGTTTTGCGAATATGTTGCACAAGATTATTAAAATGCCTTTTATGCACTTCTTATAATTTTACGGGACGCTCCTAAACTTTTAGTAAATATGCCTGGAAAAATATAAATTTGCCTTTTATTAGAGGCTCAGTCTATGTCATTCACATTTCCTGAAAAGTTAATTAGCCACAATAGATCTATACACTTTCCGGTCGCGCTGTTACCCCCTCTTTGCAATCTGCAATCTAAAATTTGACGAAAGCATCTAAAGTTTTCTTACATATTCTTACTGCGAGGTTAAATACTCCAAAAAAAATTCTATTGTATTAAAGTAAAAACTGAAACCATTAAGGGTACAAATTACCTTCTCTTTATTCTATTGATTCAATCACAAAAGAAAAAAAATTGGTAATTTCCTCAAGATATGTAATTAAAATTAATTTATTATTATTAAACTTAGGCCTTGAAATCATATTGCAAATTATAATATAATAATTTAAGTTTTTTAAATACATAATATATTTAAAACGGTCATGATTAAAACAATAATCGAAAATCAATTCGATTTTTAATTTCTTGAACAGTTTTAAATGTACATAAATGCATAAATACATAATCTTTTTTCGCTTCATCTCGTAGTATTTTTAAGTTACACACCAATAGTTATAAGAAAAGTCTTTTTTCTAATTTAATTTTGCCACAACCCAAATCTTTTGTAATAAAAACCTCTTGCAATCAGTTAAGACTTTCAATTTTGTTAAAGCATTTTAAACGTAATTGAAGGAATTAGAGAGGCAGTAAACAGGGAACTAGCCTTGGTTGCAAAACAAATTTCAATCAGTTTACAAAAAAAAAAAAATATTAGAAAAAATAATTGCATTGAAAAGAAAACAAAAATTTTGGTGAAAAAAATAAAAATTAAAGTTTTTCACAAATTAGAAAAAAATTCACTAACAAAAAAAAATTTTTTTTCAACTTTAATTCGTTTTTGTGTTTATACCCATATTGAAAGCAAAAGTTAATAACAAAGAACCAAAACTTATTGAAACTTTAATTTACGAGTACTTATTGAAAGTGAATTTTATAACATCAATAAAATTGAATTTATAATTTTATGTTCAGTACATTCACAATTAAAAAATGGTTGAAAAAATTGAATTTAGTGATTTGCACAAAAAGATTTAATTTTACACTGAACAATAATTTCTTTGATTTTCTTATTAATGGAATATACTTAAATCAAAGAAGATGCAAATATGAAGAAGTACAGATACAAATATTATTTGCATCTTTGATTTGAAGTACATACATACATATATCATATTTTACAAAACATTTATACCTTACCTTATTCAATTGCTTAAGAATTATATTTTGCTTAGTTCCA